AGCCGAAAACAGACGGAGATTCAGATACAAAGATACTTTCGAGAGGTGTCGCATCTGCGGGCGAACATTTGCCTTGATTTGATTTTACCTATTCGGGGGGAGTTCGTATCGGTAGTCCATAGATATGCAAATTACGCGTCGGCGGGAATGGCAGGTGATGGCTCTATAAAAAGAGTAATCAATATGTTGGGCTGGGAATAAAAAAATAAGAACAAGGGAGCGACACTTTTGGCAAATGAATTTAAATAAGAGCCGGCAGCAGCAGGCTGGGATTCGCTAACAAAGTGCAAATCGAGCGAAATAAATCACGGGCCTGCGACACGGAGCCACAAAACTCCGCGATCTCGCTAAATTAATCACATGGCCATACATCAAAACAAACAGATCATGACAAATGCAGAGCGTAAATCGAGCAGGGACTTTCTTTTCCACGTTCCCTCTTTTCACCGCCCCCTATCGTAAAAACTCCTTTTATTCTTCGCCGGCGAAGACACCTCGTTCTTTGTCCGCCAGCAAAACTCTTTCGTTTTGTTACTCTATATTGAGTACGGGAGTTCTGGATTTTTGAGGGAAGTCAAAATTAATTATCTAAATTATTTTGTGTATTAAAGAATAATCTAAAACTTTTCTGAACTCAAACTATTAATATTAAATTAAAATGTACACCAATAAATTATTTTCTAGAATATGTTTGCTTTAAGAATTTATTTTTCCCTAAGTACACCAAACAATCTGTAAAATAGAACAGATATTCAATAAAAATGCCAACTTAAATCATAAAATCCAAATATAATGCTAATTTTTATCCTTATATCAATCAACATGCCAATTAAATATTTATTAACGAATAATAATTAAATAAATTTATATTTTCAATATTTATATCAATTTCAATAACTATAGGCCAAATTTGTTCAAAATGAATTCAGATAGATTTTTGTTTGAATTTAAAATTTTCAAAAGTATCAGGCCTAAGTTTTATTAAAGTTAAATTGTTATATGTCTAAAAGCAGTTTTAAATAGAATTGTTATTTGACTTTTCGACCATATTATATCCTATTTGATAAATTGTTTTTTTTGTAATATAATATTTTTACAACTCTTTAAAACAAGGGAACCTCATATTCGTCTCTCTTGCCATTTTACCCTTTTTCTGCTGCTGCTTTAATTAAAATAATTTTTACGTTTGCTGGCTGCGCTTTTTCCACGTGAAATTCCACCGTAGAACAAAAGAAGAGCAAAGAAAGAGGACCCAGACGACATAGCCGCTGTCATGTTCGCTTGTCTAGAAATGTGTCCGCTGGCCAGGTTTTTGCAGCCAATACACCAACTCCATTACCATCCGAGTATCAGTACCTCAGCATTTTAGCATCTGACTATACCATTCCCATTTATATTCCCGAGTCGAGTCTCCGGCCAATGCCAACGCATAAATTATGCTTCGTTGTCGTTTGGGGAAAAAGTAGAAGTCGGATCGTCTGAGGTGACAAAAGGTACTGAAAACCAAGAGAGCCGAGACTGAAGAAATGGGAGACTTGCTGCGGGAAATTTCTTGGCAGGCAGAAAATAGATTTGTGCCGACTGGCTGGTTGGTTGGTTGGCTTCATTGTGCTCAGCCTCTGGCGCAATGGAGTTTTAATTGTCCAACGGGGCCACATAAATTTTGGCTGCGCGATTTAAGATTTTCTAAAACATTTGAAGTCAATCTATCGCAGCCCCTTAATGGTCAGCCAGGTGCCAAAAGAAGGGGTATCTCACATAGAACAAGAGACATGACCACAAAACACAGAACACACAAAAACAGAAACTGAACATTTGGCTAAAAGCCAAGCAGACGGCAGGAAAACTCTTAAAGTGTAACCAAATCGTTTGGGTTTGTGGGAGAGGGGAGAGGGAAATGTTTTGCATTTCAAATTGCATTTTAATCGCATTTCAACCTGAAATGCCATTAGACATAATTCGTTTAGCTGCATTTGTCATTGGCTATATGGCTACATGGCCTAGCCGAATCATTTCGATATGGGGGGATTTTCGGTACTGTTTCGCTTCGGCGGAGGACAATTGACGAACGTCCGCACACGTAAATCAACTTTGGCATTGATTTCCACTGGCTGACTCGACTGACTGGACCGACTGGATGTCCCCGGCTGATTGTGATTGCGATTTGTATGCAACTGTCCAGCAGATTATGCAATCACTCCACTCCCCGACCTCCTCTTCATGTCAAATTCAAATTCGTCCTGCCGTAATTGATTGTGAGCCGTCGCCCATCCACTGACATTTAATCAATTTATGCCCGGTGCCCGGTGCAGTCAGCAGTCGAGAGTGCCGAGTGAGTACCCTCGCGAGTATCGAGTAGTAGTCTTTCGATCGATGCCGGTGCACTGCACCCGATGCTCTGCCTTGGCACCTGTCACCACCTCCAATCGAATGATCAATCTGCACCAACGAAAAAATGTGAAATACAAGAGGTAGAAGAAATAAATATAATGTAGAAGATCGATGCCGGTGCACTGCACCCGATGCTCTGCCTTGGCACCTGTCACCACCTCCAATCGAATGATCAATCTGCACCAACGAAAAAATGTGAAATACAAGAGGTAGAAGAAATAAATATAATGTAGAAGTCACAGAGCTGATAAGAAAATAGCTAAAAGAACATAAATATTTAATATATATTTTTTAATGTTGAAATATTAAAATTTAAAATTTCTGTTCTTTTTTATAGCTTTCAAAAAATCATAAAACATAAAATAATATTTTTAAAGTATAATAAATCATATACTCATAATTTAAATATGTTCAGCATGTTTTTCTAGACCACAAATATTATTAGAAAGACATATCTTTAACCATTTTTAATAATAGCCCCTTCTAAAAACCTAGATAAGATTTTCTTAAATATGGAATATTTTTAATAACTAATTTAACATTTTCGCAAATGTTCTAAATGATTTTTGCACAACTAATAGAAAGTTATTTTCCACAGTGAAAAGCGGGGCAATGTCTCTCTTCTCTGTGACTCTTGTTCAGGTATAAATAGCCGTCTCACCTTGCCGATGAAGGTGTTGAAAGGCAGGTCCAACGATTGATCTGCTGATCGGCTGGCATATTTAGATTTAAATTTAAATTAGCCCGACGCAACTTATCGATTTACCCGCGAGCTGACCCTGAATGAGGCATTCTTTTCTTTAACGAGACGAGAGATATATATTTATTTAGCCGGCCAGCTGCTCGAAAAACTCAATTTCCTGCGCGAAGACTGGGGAACCCATCAAATGCTTTACGACGGCAGACCGCAACTTGAAATTTAACACACGTTGTTCGGCTCTGACCCCTTTGGTCTATCGGTCTGTCTGTCTGGGCTCTGCTACTTTTTCATTTTTCGCATGTAATGTGTGTAATCAAAGTAACAAAATCCAAATCATATTTCCTTCATTGACCACAAAATGTGGGCGGCCAACCCTTTTCCTTTTCCCTTTTCCATCCCGCACAACCCACACATTCATCTTCGGTGCGCATATAAAACATTTTACTAGATTTATACAATCAATGCTCTCGGTTGCTGCCTCGGAACATTTCTTAACCTTGTTAGATGCGATTTTTTACTCTTTTTGCCCACAGCCAAAATTATTGGTCTGCGCATATGTAATCATCTCTGTGTGGAAAAGTAGGAAAAGGACACACCATAAAGTGCACACAATCAAATCGAAATTCATTTTTAGGTACAACTCCTTTGAGGCTGCATGGATATATGGTTTTCGGGGGTCTATTCCTTTATCATCCTTGATTTCCTGTATTTCTGGCAGGCTGAATGGGTCTGCGTTTCGGCCACTTGATAGTCAGCAGGACTTTTTCGCATATGTCGGCAATATTTTATTTATTGACATTGCGCTTTATTAAAAGGTGTTGGACGGCCAACCCTTATAAGATTTTATTAAAGATGTTGAGGGGAATGGTTCTGAATTTTTCAGAATTTTGTTGTATTTATTTAATAGAAAAGCTTAATTTATATAGTGACTAACTTACATGTAAATAACTCAAACAAAAGGTGTTTTATGGAATGGGGATAAGTGGGTTTAACTAACAAAACTGCCGAGTCAGCGGGGTTTGGGTGTTTTGGGGTCAGGGGTCGGGGTCTTAAGGTCTGACACCAACACGTCGCTTGGCGGTGGGCGAGAGTTCATTATTAAAAGTTTTTAAAAGCAGATAAGTGCACAGACTGATAGAGATACTCGTATCCCAGTTGGGCAAACACACCCAAATACACATGCAAAAATATTGTAACACTGAGGAAAAAAATTGTTAATAAATCTTATAAATTAGAAATATTTTATATTTTACAAAAATAAAAATCCCGACTTTTAAGAAGTGATTCCCTAAGATCATATTTATAAATTATTAAGATTATAGTAAGATAAAATGATCCCAAAAATAAGTTGCTTACACCTAAAGTATTAAAGTGAAGGTGGAGAGTGCAGTGAAAACCTAACGTTAGTCCCTACTCGGGCGCCACTTGATCTTAACTCAAAACATTTCATTTCAGTTTAAGTTTTAAACCAGAAAATAAAAGCTATTTTACGAATGAATGTAATTTTTCTAACAACTAAACTTAACCACTCTAATTAGTAGTTTCTCGCAGTGCAGTGAAGCGATAACGATGGCCCCTGCTCGGGCGCCACTTCACCTCTAATTGAAACATTAAGTTGCACATCACGTACGCGGTGTCAGACACTAGACGCCAACAACAGCCAGGATTCAGGATCTGGGTGAAGGGAAGGAGCTTCCCTAGGAGTATGCTAAAATGCGGCTGCGGTGGCCTTTGGTTTTACCTTGGTCCTGGTTCCTTTCCAATCCCCCCTCTCTCCCTCGACTTTCAGGGACTATCAACCACTCAGCACTTTATTTTTTCCGTGTTGGCATTTTAAAAAGGCATTTAAGCTGAGCTGCGAGGGTTTTTCGTTAAGTGTGCAGAGTGATTATGCCGGAAATTTGTTTGTCTATGATTTGGAGGAGTTTCTATCCGTGGGGGCTGGCGGCAGGCAGGGTCTGATAAAGATCTGCCGTCGTTCGCGTATCCACTCGGTCATCACTAGTTAGGGGTTAAAGGGGATTTAATTTAAGGTTAATTACTAGCACGAAACTCACCCCATTTGGAGCCCACAATCACGGGACAGGCGGCATGTCTGGTGAGGATGTCTCCATTCCCATTCGTATCCAAGTTATGCCAGAAGATGGCAGTTCCAGCCCGGGGATACACGGAATAACCCACGGTTGGAAAGGCAGTGGCTCCTCCCTGTTCCACGTCAGTCAGCTGGAAGGGTAGGAAAATTAAAATTTTATATGAAAATATCAATTATTATATCTACTTACATAAAAAAGCACTGTGGCAATACGATCTCCCAAAACTTTGCCCTGGCGATTAATTTTTTCTGTGTAATTACTGGATGCAAAGTTGAAGTAATCCGAGTGGGTAAGATAGTGGCCACCTATTCCGTAGTTTATCACCTGAAAATAAGATATAATAATTAAATTTTCCTGATCTACAGTGATAGATTTTAGTTTAACCTGAAATTCTTCTGAATCGGTTAAATCAAAACCTGTCATATCTTGAATCCTTCTAGTAATCCTCCTTGTTAGCTCATTATTTTTTCTAATAAACCAATATGCTTTGGCAGTCCTTCCCTTGTTTTTATTTTTAGGGTTTCTGTTATGGATTCTAGCTATTTTCATATTTTTAGTGGCCTTGCTAATCAACATGGATATTTCCCGTGCAGAGAGCACTTCGTGGTAGAGCAGTACATAGGGATTTAGGCCAATCTCTTCCATTTTCAATGGTGCCAAGCGAAGAAAGGGAGTGGTGGTGAAGTTGTAGAAGCATTTTAATCTATTGGGTTTGTTAATCTTTCCCCTGCAACTTAACGTATAGTTATCTACTATTGGAACTTTCTTTTGCTTATTTTCTTCAAGTGTATGGTTTGCTTGGTTTGTTTTGAGGGCTGTTGCTTGCTTCCTAAGTCGCATAAAAGCAGCATCCTGGGGTTTGAGTTCCAAGGAATCATCTAGTAAATCCAAGGTTTCTGTATAACATTCTAGGGAATTTGAATTAGATTTTAGATAGATTATAACAATACAACTAACTTTCTTTCAAGTGGGTCTCGACAAGTAACTTTAGAACCTCTTCTTTTTCAATAGCCAGATGCTTTGGTATAACCAAGACATCTTTTTGAAGACGATGAGGAACCTCTTGCAGCCATTGAATAGCTTCCTTTGTTTTTTTTTCCTTTACAAGATGTTTGCCCACTGCTAAAATATCTGCACAACTCATACTAGAACTTTATAAGGTGTATTCCGAAACTGTAAAAATATTTAAATAACCAAAAACTTTTTAATGCTACCCACTTATACTGCTTTCCATTGATTTTCCCCTTGACAAAAGCTGCGATATCAAGATTGTAGGTGCTTTGGATGCGGATTACTCCGGTACACGCCTCCCATAGATCAGTTTGAGTGGGTAGTTCATCCCGCCAGCTGTCGAAGTTTATCAATTGTGAGAAGCCCGCCGGTTGTTCCATGTATTTTCGCCATTTTATCCAATCCTGATTCAGTCTTCGTATGAGTGAAAAGCTATTCAAAGGATTGGATAGATAGGATATAGGATCCTGTCTTCCTTTCTTGTTTTCAGAGCGCATCACTTTGATTTGACTAAGAAACTGTATTTTATAGAAGGTAAGGGCTCTTAAAGACTAGTCAAATTCACCTGCGAATGATCTGCAGCTTCTCTTCTAGGTCCTTGGTGTAGTTATCCAGGTTATTAATCAGTTTATTTTCCAGTTTAAGAAGAGGCACCATTGTCGCCAGTGACAGAGAGTGACTCTTCTCCTTAGTACTCTTTCCAAGAACCACGCTGCTGAGAATTAGTATCAGGAAGACATAACCTGCTAAAAGCCACCATTGTTTGTCCTTTGATTCCATGTATTATCGTTATTATATAAGTTTTTAAATTGACATTTAGTCAGGCCTACTTAGTTATAGTCATAAATAACCATTTTGTTTTTATGAAAATTTCTTAAAATCTTCTTAATACATTTTTTTTATAAACAATTGTTTTTATTGTATAAAATAAGTTTCTACAAAATTTGCATTTAAGTTGAGGGTTTAAAGCAGGGCCTAACGAACAGCTGGCTTAGTTCGCGAATCCACTCGGTCATTACTGACAAAAAAGTTCAAAATAAATTCTGATTATTTAGAAATAATAAGTATTATGAATCTTACCCCACTTGGAGCCCACAATTACTGGGCAGGCGGCATGGAGAGTAGAAGGATCCCCGAGCCCATCTGTATGAAGGTTGTACCAGAAGATGGCGGTCCCAGCTCGAGGATAGATGGTATATCCTGATTTTGGAAAGACAGTGGCTCCACCCTGTTCAACATCCGATAGCTAAGGTTAAGAAACAATTTTAATAGTAGAGAACCATTAATTTTTAAATAAACCCACATAGAACAGAACTGTGGCTATGCGGTCTCCCAATTGTTCGGCCATGGAAATTTTTGTATTATCTACATTTGTGTAGTTGAAGTAATCCTTGTGCATATTATAGTGACCTCCCATACCATAGTTTATAATCTAAAACAATAAATATATATATTAAGTTTAGATATATTTGTAATAAGGTTTGGGTTTTTTTCTCACCTGAAACTTTTCCGAAGTGGTCAAATCCAGGCCCGTAATATCACGTATTCGCCGTGTTATCCCTTTGGTCATCTTGTTGAAATCCTTATGTATCCAACGAGATTTAACAGTCCTCATTCGTTTAAAGGCTGCTCCTTCGACTCGAAAGACACCACTAGCCCGCAAATTGGAAAGGGCCAATTCTTTCAGCTCTTTTGATTCCTTTGGGGTAATCACTTCGTGGTGAAGCAGCACATATGGATCCAAACCAACTTCCTCAACTTTCAGTGGAGCCAATCGAAGAAAAGAAGTGGTGTTGCAGTTGTAGAAACAGTGGAGTCTACCAGAGACCTTTGCCACTCCCCTGCAAGCTAAAGTAAATGCCACTCCCAATGGATCTTCAGGCTTTTTGGGTTTTTCAAGTGTGATATTCTGGTGGATTTCAACCAACTCCTTTGTTTCATCACAGAGTCGCAGGAGTTCAGCATCGTGTGGATTGAGCATTAGGCATTTTTCCAGCAAAGACAAGGCTTTTGAATAGTTCTCTAAACGATATTAATTAGATTTGGTATAGTAAGTAAAGGTACAACTAACTTTTATGTGCATGGCATTCTGCAAGTAATTTAAGAACCTCAATTTCCTTAATTGTCAAGTGGTCAGGAACTGCAAAAAGATCCTCCTGAAGACGATTTTGAACCTCCTGTAACCATAAAATAGCTTCTGCTTGAGCTTTTCCCTTGGCAAGATGTTGACCTATAGCAAAAATATCCGCAGTACTCAAGCTTACACTGAAAAAATACAAATTTTATAAATCATAAAAAAGGATATTATTTCAAATACCCACTTGTATTGCCTTCCATCCAGTTTCCCCCTTATTATATCTTCAACTTTAAGATCATAAATGATCTGAATGCGGACTATGGCAGCACAGGCATCGCCCAAGTCCGCTTTCTTGGGGAGATCTTTCCACCAACCATCAAAGTTTCTCATTTGGACAGTCCCAACTGGCTGAACCATGTAACTCTGCCACTTTAACCAATCCTGTTGCAATCTTCGGATGAGGGAAAAGCTATTCAGGGGATTGGACAGATAGGAAATGGCATTCAGTTTTCCCTTTTCGTTTTCAGAACGCATTACTGGCACGTAACTAGGGAATAGAAAGTTATGGGGTAACTATGCCTTATAACTATCAAAACCTCTCACCCCTGTAAAGTCTGCAGCTTCTGTTCCAGTTCATTGGCATAGTCTTCAAGGTTGTCGATCAACTTATTCTCAAGATCAAGAAGCGGAGGCATAGATGCCACCGATAAAGCGTGGTTTGGTTGTGCTTTACTATTTCCATGAACTGCGGCAAAGATTACCTGCAGGATCAGGATATATCCTGGTAATTTTTTCCATTTGCAGTCCATTTGTAAAATACAGCTATCAAAATGTATTTGTGTGGAGATTGCTATTGCTAGATCTACTTAGATATATCAAATTAAAATAAAAGCAGCTTTTTATTCGAAAAAAAAAACTGAATTTTTATTTTTAGTCATTATAATAGGAAATGCTATTAATTTAAATAATTAAACATCAATTAAGGGGAACCATTGATACCAGCGATAAAGAATACCTTCTTTCAACCTTAAACTCACCATAGGATATAAGAAGCATAATCAGAAGGAGTTTCAGCACCATTTTGTGGTTCATTATAAAGCGTTTCCCCAAAATTCATAAAAATATTTGTTTAAGCAAACAATATTTGTAGTATAATTGGATGGCCTCCTTTTCATATTTAAATATTTTATGATCTTATTTTAAAAATTTTAGAATTATAAGAAAAAAAATCCGGCATTTAATTACTATTGTTTTCCTTTTTTTTGGAGATATCAGTTCGTTATCTTATAATTATAATGCAAACAAAGTGTCAAATTACCGCTGATTGATAGGCGATATGTGGCAGGTATTTCCACTTGTTGATTATGATGAATGGTTTGGGTAAAGACACCTTTAATTATTTCGGTTAGGAATGTTGAGACTTCAGAATTGACTGCACATTCTTCTTATCGCTTCGAAAGTGAGTTTAATTGACAGCGTGATTGATTTTGACTTGAGTTTATTGAGTTTCTAGGGGTCGTATAATATCACTTTTCTAAAAATAGTTAACACTGAGAATCACATTGACTTTTTGAGACAAGGTCTGCTGAATAACTGTTCGCGCTCTCGAATCCATTTGTTGCACACTATAATATATGGAATTTAATATGGGAATATTCTAAATTGTAATACTATTTACCCCATTTGGAGCCCACTATTACGGGACAGGCGGCATGAAGGGTTTGGGTATCGGGCTGACCGTCGTCCTTGAGATTGTACCACATTATAACCGAACCGCGTTGGGGGAAGATGGCCTTTTGGATGTTTGGAAAGACGGTGGCACCACCCTGTTCCACATCCGTTAGCTTGAACACATAAAAATCGGAGAATTATTATATTATTTATTCAGAATAAATATAGAAATTGGAATTATTTTTAAATATTAATTAATCCTTTTAAAATTACTCACATAGAAGAGTACTGTGGCAATCCGATCACCACTCATGGCAGTCAAATTTGAGTTCTGATAAGAAATATAAATAAATAAATATAAATATAAATATTTCGTCTAGACTTTGGCTACTTACAATCTGGTTAAAATAATCGTAGTGCTTATCGTAGTGGCCACCCAAACCGTAGTTCATTAGCTGCAGCATTTCCGAGCCGACGAGATTAAAGCCGGTCATATCGGTGATTCGGGCAGTTAGTCTCTTGGTGAGGGGACTAAAGGAATCGGGGAACCAGGCGACCTTGGAGGTCCTGGTCTTGACCACTTCGTTGCGACCCGAGGAGGCCTGGAAGACGGTGGCTCTCTTCAAGCCCGGAGTGGCCATTCCCTGGAGTTCTCTGATCTCTTTCTCGGAGAGCACATCGTGGTATAAAACCATATAGGGATCCAGACCCACCAGTTCCATTTTGAAGGGAGCCAGGGTCAGGAAGGGCGAGGTGGTTGTATTGTAGCGACAGTGAAGCCTGGCATCCGTGGACGCTGGGAACTGACCTCGGCAGCCCATCTGGTAGGTGTTCCCTGATCCCTGAGTCTGCAATGGTTTCTATTTCCCGGTTTCGGTTAATTTTACCACTATTTCAGTGGTTCGAAGTTATCATTATATTACCTTCAACAGGGGCGCTTGGTTGGTGCCCGTCCTTATCAACGTTTCGATTTCCGACCTCCTCAGCAAAAGTTTAATATCATTCGGTTTATCAGCCAGTGCAATGTTGACAACTTTCAGAGCATCCGCATTTTGGTCTATATGGAATTTATTATTATTATTATTAATATTTTTATAGGCAACCCAAGCTTACTCAGTTTTAGCAAGGTTTCAGCATAGACCATTTGTACTTCGGTCTTGGAAAGCTCTAGAGGAGCAGCTAGTTTATAAACCTCCATTAAAACAACGGACTGATAGAGCCAGCCAGCAGCTGCCAAGTAGTTTTCCTGATCAAACAGTATTTGACCCATGGCATAGGTGTCCAATGCTGTGAAACTCACACTGCAGAGTAAGTAAAGGTTTAGATTATTTAAATAATAAATATAGAAATAAATTATAGCCCACTTGTATTGTTTTCCATTGAGCAGGCCATGAGCTATTTCAGAAATCTTCAAGCCATAGGTATTTTGAATGCGATCCAAGGCAGTGACAGCCTCCTCCACATCGGTGTTGGTGGGCATATGTTCCCTGAGCTCTTGAATCCGCTCCACCTGCGACAGTCCGATGGGATCGTCCATATAAAGCTGCCATATCATCCAGTCGCGATTCATGCGGCGTATGAGGGAAAATGAGTTCAGGGGATTGGACAAATACTCCTCCGTGGAACCACGGGCTCTGTCGTTTTCCAAACGAAGGCTGGTTATGCTTCTGAAGATAAATAAAAAATATATATTTAGTAAAGATTTTTCGATTTAAAATATAATAATTTCCTGTTTATGTGATTTTCTAGATAAAAATACTTTTATATTTAAATAGGAATGGGACAATTTAACTAATTTCTTCAGTTTTAATTTCATTACTAAAAAATCGAATTACCTTTTAAAAAACAACCAAAATATTATATTTTTTTGGGGTTTTATAATCGAATAGTATTTCATTAATAACCCACCTCCTCACGGTTTCCAGCTTTTTCTCCAGTTCGACGGCATAGTCCTCTAGGTTATCAATGAGGTGCTTCTCCACATCCAACAGCTTGACCATTCCGGCCACCGAGGTGCAGTGGCTCTCCTCACCCTTCGCCTGCCGGATCGTCATCAGGAGGAGGAGGAGGAGCACCTGGCAGGCGAACAGCTTCATCGAAGAGCGCATCGTGGGTTACCTTTTCGGGTTGGAGTTCTGTTTGGGTCTACGTGCCGGAGCCAACTGTTGGGAGCCAAAAAGCCAAAACAGTCGAAGTTGGCAAGTTAACATCGGGCCGAGATAAATATGCCCCGAGTTTTCCCGTCCATGCTGATAAGCAGTGCACATTGATAGCGACACGCAGCGATTTAATTAACCGAAGAGTACCGGAACAATAATAATAATATCGCGTTGGCGCTACGTGCTTGCGAAGTGGAGAAGAGCTGCGTCACCAGAAGAACGTGCTCACAGCTCAGCGAGATCACTGACCACCGGCAATATAAATAATAATAATAATAATGTCTGTAATGGGTCAACTCAGCGGGGGAATCACCCACTGACGCCCAAAAGTGCTGAGATAGTCGAAAAAGCTCCGGCAAAGCTTAGTTCAATCATTTTGATAGAGTAATCTGCAGTATAGCAACCTTAAATAACTAATATATATTTTAATAGATTAGAAAAATATTTATGTTGTGCTTGTAGATAAGTTGTAATCAAACTTAGTGGTGCTTTTATTGATGTGTATAATTCTTTATTATTATATATTATCTGTTATCATTATATTATCTTATTTGAGAGATAATGGACTTATTTTTCTCAAAGCTTGATTACTTAGTTTATTAATTGGCTCATAAATATTTTACTTTTATTTTGACTATGTCGGATTTTCTCGGGTTTTCAAATTGTATATACAAATATTTTATTTGTGTTCCAAGTTCGCTAGTTTTTACTTATGTTATTTTTGAATTTTAAAACAAATATCACAGTAGACTTTTCAAAAGAAATATAAATATTTAAAAAATACCTCGTTTCACAAATAGTACACACAGAAAAATTCAGGTCCCCAATCGTTATGAACAATAGGCAGTCGTATCAGGGCCGTCCACTGTCCTCGCAGAGCACCGACTTCCTGTTCTACCTGCCCGGAGCCCTGCGTCCTGTTCTGTTCCTGTTCTACACCCTGGAAACGATGTGCAACATAACCTGCCTGGCCTATCACATCTCGGGCTTTCAGACCGTGAATCTGGAGACCTTTGGCCTGGGTGGTCGGATCCACGACCTTTATCTGGGTACCTTCTACTTGTTCCTGGTGCTTACTTCCTTCCAGAGCGTGGCCATTTGTACGGGTCACACGCCCAATGTCCTGGTGGAGATCTACAAGGCCTCGGCGGCCGCAGTAGCCTTCATCCTGATTTCCCTGACCACCTTGTGGAATGCCGAGCGGCAATCGCACTTGTTTGTGGGTGCCATCGATCGAGAACGCTACTCGATACACAGTGTTTACAATGAGGACCCGCCCAGTCACCCGATCTTCAAATTTATGAGGGGTCAGTCCATCTCCTCGCTGTGCTGCGGACTGATCTACATGCTCCATGCGGCCATCATGATCGACGTCAAGTTGACCTCGAGGTTCAACGACCGCGGCAAACACGCCCCCATCCCCCTTTTCGTCCTGGGTCGGGCTGTTCATAGCAGGCTAAATAGGTACGCGTGGTTCCAGGAGTTCTGCGAGAACGACTCCATTGACATTTAGATTTGAAAAATAGGAAAAGTTGGAACTTAATATGTCCTGCTTAGGATAATACTGAGCTGCTTTTATCGAGTCTTATTTTTAAATTGTTTATATGGCTCTTCGTAAAGAATTTAAAAATAGGATTTAAATAATAAAGCTTAAAGAGGAAAAATTTGGATTTTGTCATTTCAGATACCCGTAACTCAGCTAATGGAAGTGCGAGGGAAATGGAGATATGCACTGCGTAAATTTCATTATTTGCCAATAACTTTTTAATGAATTGTTCGATTTGAAAAATTTTTTCTTCGTAGATATTAATAAACACAACAAAATGAAATTTTTTTGAAAATATTTTTGAAAAATCTTTATAAATAAGAAACCTTTTGTTAGATGTCACAGGAGAAAAACATCGATAAGCAATTTCGTTTTTCGTTTGTATTACTTCGTTATGTCCGGAGGATCCCTGTTTACTTGGGTACACGGGACCGGTGTCCTAACGCGCGCGGATAGTGTGGTCGGGAACTACCAGCCTGAGGCGCTGCGACCCGTCCTCTTCGTCTTTTACACCCTGGAAACGGTCTTCAACATGTTCTGCATGGGCTATCACATCTCGGGCTTCATGACCATCCAACTGGACTCGTTTAGCTGGGACGTGCAGGCCGTCCACTACTTCTACCTGGTGACCTTCTACGTCTTCATGGTGCTCACTTTGTTTCAGAGCGTGAATATTTGCACTGGTCACAAGCCCACCGTTTGCACGGAGATCTGGAAGGCCACGGCGGCGGCGGTTGCCTTCACCTTAATATCCCTGACCACGATGTGGGATGCGGAGCGGCAGTTCCACATGTTCATCACCCTGCGTGATGATAATGACGAACCCCCGTATCATGGAGACTTCGTAGAGGATAAGCCGGTGCATCCGGTTTTCCACTTCCTGCGCGGCCAGTCCATCTCCTCGCTGGCCTGCGGAATGCTCTATCTGCTCCATGCCACCATCATGATCGACGTCAAGTTGACCACCGACCTGAACAAAGGTCAGGTGAAGGGCGACTACATGCCCATTCCCCTCTTCGTCCTGGGACGCTGCATCCACGCCAGGCTAAACAGGTTCGAATGGTTTCGAGAATTTTGCGAAAACGAACCCATTTACCTCTAGGACTAGGATTTTAGGAAGCCATTAGCTAGCCGGGAAAATGAATGTCAAAATTCTAGTTTCTAGTTGCTTTCCAAATTTTTTACGTATTTTTTTAATATTCTTGATAATGTAAATATGTATTTGGAATGTACTCATATATACTTATGCTTGATAAAGATAATAAGTATAATATATTACTACCATATTAAATAAGAATGTCATTCATCCTTAATCTCGAAATTTTATTTCCAATCGATTGACATTTTTTTCTGTTTACTTCATCAGTGAAATTTTTTATTCCAGTTTTAGCAAAAAGTATCAGTATTTTAGAGCTCGTTGAGCTCGTAATTAAATCGATTGACATTTAAACCTTCAAATTCTTTTTTTGACCATTATTTGCAAAAAGTTGTGATGGTACCCTTATAATAAATGTGAAAATTTATATAAAAAGCATTTTTCTAAATCCGTCGGAAAGTATCGGGAATTAATTTACTTCTTTGTTAGCTGTTCAAAATAGTTAGCATTTTGAATTTTGGAACATTTTTGTTTAAGTTACAGCAAAAAAACTCTCAGAAAAATAATATGAAAAATGTTTCGAAATCACCTAATTAATTTCGATCTTAAAGAGTGTCATAATGCAAATAGCAATCGGATATCTGGCAGTCGGAGCACTCGACCGAGCAATTCTTATGGGTTAATGCTCGCATTGCTGAACAATTGCTATCTGGCTTCCGCCATGAGTGAATCCATTGAAAGGGTTTTTGTGGAAAACCTAAATACCGTTCTGTTCTGTTTGGGGGGAGCCCACTTGTTGTTCTGTGTGTGCCAAGGTAGGGCGAAAAAGGCTTTAAATTTTACACTTTTATGGGTGGTACTGCGTGGGGGTTTCGGGTCATATGTACTGCCGTTGATATCGGCTTAACTTTGCCATAAAACTGTCAGCGTCATGCCTTCTGCGGGGTCGGATGGTTGGACAAATGAAATAAATTTTACAGCCAAATGGACAGAGGGCAGCCGAACAAAAAGACTGCACCAGAGATTTGTGTGTGCGAAAGGCAAATCTAATGCGGACAACAAAAGCACCTGTGACCTGGAAAATGTCCTGTGTCCAATGTCCAATGTCCTGGCGGCCAAACCGAGTTTATGTCCGTGACCGTAGACGACTTTCGGGATCCTGTGGATACCGGGTTGGCTTTACGGGTCCGCCTGTCAACAGCTGGACGGGCCTTTAAGCTGCTTTTGGGCCACTTTAAGCCAGACATGGCAAATATTTACTCGAAGCATTGCCCCCGAAAAAAAAGAAGGAAGAAGGCGGTGGGATGTTCATCAATTAAGTGTCATCAATCATTCGAGGATGGATCAAAATCAGCGACTACAGCCATGGGCAAACATGTCACGGTACAAAATATCGTTTAACCTAAAATGCCAGGAACACACAAAAAGTTCTTGGAAAATCAGAGGGCCGCAAATCATCCCTTACTCACTATTTAACCACCTAATCATACAAAAGTTAATGTTCCACCTTCGAAGGGCATATCAATTACAATTGGTGACCCCGTTGGGTGACCCAGTGATTTAGAATTTCGTGAATAAAACTCAAAACGCTAAAAACTTTGGCTCTGTTTTATTTGACTGAGCTCAAATCAAGCGGAAACTCAAACACTTGGTCCTCCAAAACGACTTGTGAAACAATGCTCCATTAATGGCGCCCAACGAATCTTCTCGAAAAAATCGAAATCAATGTCGAGCGGTTGCAGTTATGATTATTGCAGTTGTCAAAAGTTTTCGAGGGATTCGAGTATTTTTCTGTGGTGGAGGATACGGTGGAGAATGATAATGGGCTGGGCAAACAGAGAGGAAAGGTTTATGCAAATGCCGGCAGGGCTTTTATACACTGGCAAACAGACAGCGATGGCTCGCTAAAAAATGCTTATGACTTGTGTAAACAATTTGGCCAAAGTCCTTGGTCCTTTTGATATCCTTTTACGTGTAGGTATGCCTTATGCCTTCAGCCCCTTCGACCCCATTCGCAAAACTCTCTATTCCGAAGGAGCAACTCCAGATCCAGATCTCTGTGGTGTAAAAATATTTTATGGACTTTGGCATTTTGCTAGGGAAAAGTTACTTTGCCCCGATAAGCGAGCGCATGTGTGTGTGTGACTTCCGTTTGTCCTTGCATGTCCTTCCTTGGCGATTCGATATTCGCACACATTCGCACACATTTTTATGCATTTTCTTAGCGGCCATTTTTATGCCCGCACACGTTTTCCATTAGACATCAACAGGACCGACAGTCATTTCCCTATTTCCCTCGGCGCTTCCTTGTTTGAACTCTCAGTCTCAGCATGGGTGAAAAGCCCAGGGAGTCGGGATGATGATTTTTTGGACAAGCTAACTTGAAACCTGTCACTCCCGGATTTCTAATTGAAAACTGGGTCAATTGCCGGGTGGCACATTAATCAAATTCGGAAGCCCCGCTTCGCTTTGCATTCGTCATTAAAGCAATTATCATGTTGGGACAATTACTCTTTGTTACGATGGAACTTGGAACTGAAACTGCTGGCATTTCCGTGGCAACTTCAAGCTGGGAAACTTCAAACTGCGGGAATCCGGCGAATGGAAAACTGCGCCAAGGTGGCATTAATCTTCATAAGCGTGACAAGTTCATTAGAATAGCAAACACGGCATTCATTTCCCACTCACAGTTCCCCCAACTCCGGAAAATTCTTCCCCTTGATGGGCTGCTAATTGGCACTGTCATCTTAAGCTTATGCCGGGCTGACTATTTATCAATAGGTTGCTATTAAAAAACTTAAAATATATCATGGTATTTTGCAGATTTTAAATAAAATCAATGATGTCATTTTAATGGGGTTAATTAAATATTCAAATATTTTTCTTTGTTTTATGAAATTAATTTATGAACGATTTGTGAAAAAACTTAAAAAAGAGAATCGAAAAAAAAAGGAAACGATTGTTGGGTACATTGTTTCATACCTACATACCTATATATACGAAAATTCCTTATTAGCTTATCCTGCATGGTCACGACTTTTATTTAGGTTGTTAAGCATTAAAGGAGTGTGTAAAAATGATCCCTTATCCCTCCAACGTCTCCCACTACATACATACATCTGCGCTTATTTTCCACCGTGGTTCGCATAATTCCGCGGATATAATTTTTTAGCGAGGCGCTGGAGCGCGACGCGGATAATGCGCATAATTTCTATGCCACGTTGGTCACCCGAAAAGTAAATGTACACACAGCAAAGTCGCCCGTCCGGAGACGGGGAACCACCGAGGTCGACCTTTGTGCCAGGACCAACCAACTAAAGCAGCAACAGCGAAGGATTTTGGCAATGGTTTTTCCAGGGGAAAGGAGCGAAGGGGGGAACTTTGAACTGGGAGCTGTGCCCATGAACAAAAGAGGTACATGCGAAAAATAAAACCTATTACCGGAATCATAATTATCTTTTATGGCCGCGTCTGTCATGACGACATTATGGCGTGGTCTGCTCCTGGTTCCCCATCCTTTGGTCTCATCCCATCACCCTCTCTTTCTTTATACAGAGAAAGAAAAATTAATTAAGTCTAATATGGGATATATTAAATTAATTACTAGGGAATGGAATCAATAAAAAATTGTTTCACCATTGATGTATGCTGTAAGTATGCAGTGAAAAAAGGATTACGCCTTTTGGAATACATCCAAAGTACTCCACGTTTAAAAAAAAATTGTCTTGCATACTTTTAGACACCTTCAATAGTGATCTTAATATCCCTGTAAATTCTTATGTGTTTTTAGAATATTACTTTTATGTGCATTTCACTGTATCTTTTTTCTGTCTCTCTCTCCGCACGTAGCAATAAAAAACCGCGAAATGCGGCCAAGTAGCGGCAGAAAAAAGTAACATAAATTACGTACAAACCCCCAAAGCCCATAGTGGGGTTAAGGGTACAGGGAGAAGGGGGCGGGGTGTGCGTGTTTGGGGGTCCCACAAATTATGTAGTCGGAATAATATTTTCATTACGGCCAGGAAAACACAGTTTCGATTCCCCCTCGCCAGACATCTGTCGCCACTTTTGCCTTTGGCCGGCTAAAAACAGGTGTTTCCTAATTTATTGGCTTGGCCTGCAGACATTCATTCCCCATCCCAGTAGTAATTGCCATCCCATTCAGAATTTACTTGTACCTCCTGCGAAATTATTATTAAAACTAAGGATGGGGGGCAGAAAACATTGTCTGCGGCTGGCAGACAAATCAAAGTGCCAACATTGCTTGTCATGTGTTTTTTAATTTCTAATATTTCACGCGTCACACGGCCCAACCATTGGAAAAGTACACCCCACATCCATGGATTCACCACCCCAGAGTAATGCTAATGCTCCTGACAGAGGGCTCTGCCATTGTTGTGCACTTTGCTGCAAATTATGCGAGACACGTCGCCCAGCCGCATTATTCGCATCCGAACAGATCGAAAAAGGCCAGCGCTCTGAAGGTCTGGAGGTGTGCCCGAGGTGCAATTCTCTACAGGAAGGGGAAGGGGGACAAGGATCAGATCAGGAAAGAAAGAAAAGGGAGCTATCCTCAGGCCAACTGGCTTGAACAGCTCTACGTGTGATAATTCTGGCACCGCTAAAGTTTTAACAGCTCAAGAAATCTTTTTTTAAAGATATTGAAATACCTCTTAAAAAAAATTGTAATATTAACAGAATGAAGGATTTTAATTCATAATTAATTATATTGATAAAGAATTTAACATTAAATATAATTTGTTAAAATTATTAAGAGAAGGCACAAAAATCTTTTAATTTAGAAACATTTATGAATGTGCTTAAAAGTGTGCTGTAGAAAAATTGGTCATGCGAAATTAATTTTGTTGCATACTTTTAGGCGGCATAATAAGAGATTTACTAATTCATCCCTTTTTTTAACCGTTTAAAGCTTAAAATTTAAAATAAAAATAATAATAACTTAATGTATAAACATCTATACCCACATTTTGTTACTCCCTGTAATTTACAACCTGCTCAAGCTGCCACATAGGTAGCAGTATACCTGTTATTGTTGAATAAATATACCCTTTAAAAAAAAAAAAAAAAAAAATAAAATAATTCATCCCTTTCAAAATATACTATATATAGAGTTCTTTCTCTAACCCAACAACTTTTGCTACCCTGTATATTAAGCATTGGGAATGGGGCTCTCTTGTGGTGGCTGTTCATTTCGCCCAAGGCCAAGTGTGTGGCATTCCCCTTGTTAAAAAGCGCAAAATGCACGTGCTGCCTTTGTGCGAATGGCGCTGTTGTTGTTGTTGTAATTGCTAGCCGCCGCCTGTTGACAGGATACTTCAACTATTGTTTGCCAGGATCCCCGACTCCTGTTTAATTCAGCATGAAATTGGTTTGTATTATGATTTTGCAGTCGCTCCCTGCCTCTGGCGTTTTCCGCAAAAACACCTTTTCAAGAAGTGTTGGCGGTGTCTTAAAGCTTTAGAAAAAACACTGGGCAAAGCGAAAAAGGATCCATAACAAATATTAATGTTTTCCTATATGGGTATTCGTGTATTTACTGCGGAAAAAGTTCGCTTTGATGCTGCTGCTTTAATTAAAAACTGCGCGCTTCGCGTAACTAGCACTTGATTAATTTTTGGTTGCACGCAAAAGTAAAGCGAAAAAATGCAAAGCAAAACAGAGGGACACGCCAAACCGCAAAAAGCAGCAGGAAAAAAGGATTCAAATTAATTATGTCCATGCTGTGTGCTCCTTTTTATTCCGGGGGTTTTCGGAACGAAGCAACGAACCACTTCCACTTTACGTTATCGTAAGCGTGCTCTGCATACGAGGTGCAGGATATTCAGGATATGCAGGATATGGACAAAAGGATAAAAACGAGGACCCAAATTCAGGATGAGGACATTGCATGCTGTTCTGCGAACTGGCTGCCATTCATCTGGGTGAACTTTGCAGCTTAGTGGGCGGTTGGCTTTGATATTGAATTTCCGCGAAATGAAATACGGACACTGACCACGGGCAGTACGGATGTTATAGGGCAGAAGTGGGCGTGATCACTGTTTTGGTGTGATTTACAGGGCAGGAGGTGTCCATAAACCAAATGCTCAAAGGGGGAGGAACTTGAATCTGCATTGTGGTGAAGATATTGTGTGTATATTACCGAAAGCATTGGAAACAAATAACAAAAAATGTCTACCAATGGGACTATTAAATAGTTTCAAGAAAAAAAAGTTTGAAAAAGAAAAATCACATTCTTTTATACCAGTATACCAGATTTTAAAGTACTTGGCTGTATTCTTGATTACTAGGCATGTCAATTTATCTCTGTCCGTATCTCTGTCAGTATGCCTGTACGTATGTACACTGAGATCTCGGAATCTCGCCGCGTCCTCTCTATAGCCCACGGCATTATTTAAAAAGATCAACGATTTGCAGAATAAATTGTATTTTATTATATTTATGAATACCTATCGGCAACAATTTTTCAAATCGGTGCATTAGCCAATAAGTTTGGTAAGTTAAAATTTAAATATAAAGAAAAATTTGGACTTTACTTTAAGGTAGTTAATCGTTTTCATTGTTTTATCTTTTTAACGTTTTTTTTATCCATCATCATTTCCACCTTAAGCATATTCTCTCAGGATTTTCAATACTCAGTGGTACTTGATCCTCATTCTCGACTTGTCCTTCTCCTTCTTCTTCATTTTCGATTTGCTTCTCTCTTCGATCCCCATTTTCGGTTGTCGGATTTTCGTTTTTATATTTTTGCCTCTTAAACGAATTTTTTCGCTGGCTCTCATCCTTGTGTTCTTTCAAGACTCGCTTTTTACCTTTTTCACCTTCCTACAGGAAGAAATTTGGGTCAGGATACTCAATACTCAGGAGTACTTGATCCGTATTCTCGACTTCTCCTCCTTCTTCACTTTCGATTTGCTCCTCACCTCGATCCTCGGGTTGCGCTTCTCCTGGTGTCTGATTTTCGTTTTGATAGCTTTGCCTCCTTAGCGTTTTTTTTCGCTGGTACTCATCTTCGTATTCTTGCAAGAGTCGCTTTTTTACTTTTTCATCCTCCTTTCTTTTATTAAATATATCCACTATCCGTTGAAAGTTTTCGGACCATTGGTGATACAGGTCGTCGTTTTCCTCATAGTCCTCCAAAAGACACAGGTAAATCGTATCCACGGCCATCGCGCAGACCCCAAAGACCCCCTTCGTTATGAAGTAGGTGACAATTAAAACAAAAATTGTGGGCCACGTATTCTCCTCCATTGACATTTGAGGCAGGATGAAGTAGGTGGCCAGCCCAGCAATCGCCATTATCACAATTCTCGAGTATAAGGAGGTCCAGTAACTGATCTGTTCTACCAAAAGCCCAAGAGATGCGTTCGAACTAGTCAATTTCGATGAGTCTTTGCCACTGTCTGACAAATTGGTTCCCAGGTCGGCGCATATGATGTAGGCATTGTAGTATGGAAATTTCATATAAGTATCTAAGCGGGTAAAAATGTGTGTAAAGATCCCGGGTAAGACAGTAATCAGGACCCGGAACATTAGTTTAGTCGTATTACAGATCGAACCCTTAGCCACGGTCCCAAAGTGTTTGTGAATGCCGGCGAAGAAAGTAGTGTCAAGAGATCTCCCCGATTTACAGGTCCAGTAATACTTACTAAACTTGGTAGCCTGCACCATATAGCTGAAGTCGTAGATGAAGCAGTCCAGAAAGACTAAACAGATAAAGTTATAGATGAGGGCGCACATAATCCAAGTCGAAAGGGTGTTATTGTCCAAGCTGCAGGTGTAGGCCAAATGGGAAGTACAGTTCTGCTGGAAAGTCTTAAGATCGCAGGGTTTATTCACCGCGTAATTAGAGGCTAATCCCTCGCATTTCAGCTCTTGATCATCATTCAATTTTTGCAATATAAATGAGGGATTTTCTATGGAGTTCAGATACAGGCCAACTGCGATTGTAAGACCCACGGCAAATATGAAGAGTACGAAGCTGAAGAAGGGGAAGATCAAGGTGCTGCAATTCTTGAAAATCGACCTACTGGCCTCCGTAAATAGAGCAATCACAATATCGATGTTTGAAGACTGCTCCTTATGCTTATTGTACATGAAGAACAGGATCGCAAAGAGGACGCCTGATGCCAACAACCAGTACTTTCCTTCCTGCCAAGTATTGGCACGATCGTTAGCGAAACGATACAAGCAGTATCCCAGGGCACAAAGAGGTATTAGGAACACCGTGCAGATGGAGAACGACAATAGTTGTTTGGAGAAGAAGGACAAAAGAAGAAAATATGCGAGTGAGACGAGCAGTGCGAGGACGCAAACCCATAGGATGACAAACAAGGAGCTTCCTTGATCCTCGATAATCTTTTTTCCCAAAGTTAGGGATCCGTAGCTGGCACTCGCCAAGGCGTTCGTCGCCGGATTTCCAAGATTGGCCAGCAATGTCAAATCCTCTACGTGCTTTGAGAAAGAATGCTTAATGCGAAGGCAGGCATCTTCGCGAGTAGCTTTGGCAGCCTTCGGCAAGTCGGGGAGGTATTCACATAGGTCCTTCAAAGTTTGGATTTGGACCATGCATCGGTGGTTATACGGGCTGCTTTTGGTGTACCAGCCGGCACACTCCTTGCGATCTATTGCCATATTTATGTCTTCTTTTGTTCGAATACGGACCTTGGTCTCCTCCGTCAGGCAGATGAGGCGACTATACAGATCCTGGAAGCTGAGTTCGTCCTTCATTGCGTGCCAATCGAACGTGCTGTCGGGACAGGACTTCACGCACACCTGATAAATAGATCATAGTAATACGTTACACAGAGAAAATTTACAACGTGTTAGGTGCGTTTTCATATAAAAACGCTTTAAAAATAAATATAAAAAATTTTAAAAATGCAAAGTAAAATTAAATTTGTATGAAGCGTTTTACTTTTTCAAATGTTTCACTCCTTGTTTTGCACCTAAAACTTTTGATAATTTTCTCTGTGTATAATACTGATAGACACTCTAACGCCCCCATTCGCCTTAACGGACTTTCAAATGTGGCTGGCGATTACAGCTTTAAAGATTTAGGAAAAGTATAAATGAAATTTTGTTGGTTTTAAAAATACCTATCAAAATGTAGAAGGTATTTTTTAAGTCGCACCATTCATTAATAAGTTATGAGCAAAAATTAAAACGTCTGCTAGATGGAGCCATCAAAAATTTCAACATCCGCAAGATGGCGCCAATAGCTTTAATGACTGCAGACCTCCATCTCCTTCGCTTTGCCTTATATAAACTTAGGATTGCCAAAGCTAACTTCCTTTCTTGTTAGATTTAGATTTTAAATTTACGAAATCAACATTTTTATACCCGTTACTCGTAGAGTAAAAGGGTATATTGTATTCGTGCAAAAGTATGTAACAGCTAGAAGGAAGCGTTTCCGACCCCATAAAGTATATATATTCTTGATCAGGGTCACTAGCCGAGTCGATCTAGCCATGTCCGTCTGTCTGTCTGTCCGTCTGTATGAACGCTGAGATCTCAGAAACTAGAAAAGCTAGAAAGTTGGGATTTCCCACACATATTCTTGGGCTTCTTACGCAGCACAAGTTGATTTTAGCCGAGTGCCCTCTAACGCCCACAATCGCCCACTAACGATTTTAAAATGTGTCTGGCGCCCATACCTTTAAAGATTTCCGAGAAGTATAAATGCAATTTTGTTGTGTATAATTATACCTATCAAAGTGCAGAAATCGGAAATCATTTTTCAAATCGGATCATTAATTAAAAAGTTATGCGCAATCAAAAAAAGGTTATATATCCATCTCCCTCGCACTTCCTTTAGCCGAGTGACGGGTATTAGATAGTCGGGACACGAACCCGACTATAGCGTTCTCTCTTGTTTTAAACTACATCTATTTAATAATATTTCCTTACCTTTGGGGTCTGACATTTCGAAAAGGGCAAGTATGGATATTTACACTTATCCATGTCGAAATAGAACAGATTTGTTCTGTTTTCCTCAGAATCCACCCCGCACCTTCGGCCTAAGGAGTCCATGGGCCTATAACTGCCGGCACTAAACGCATAGATGATGATTGCTATCCACAATAGGAAGAAGAACTCGTAGACTATCAACCAAGGCACATCCGTGTACGTGTGATACCTCGGACGATCTGGTATTCGTCTGGCCACCGTCCTGCAGTCCGTCATCACTTTTTGCTGAAATTGTTAGTGGAGAATTTAATAGTGTATCCTTGATATAAATTTAGCGATCACTGCTACTTTTGCAGTCCAAAACTTTTAAATTTTTTGCTTTTTGAATGACCTACCTGTTTTAAGACACTCACACTCACTTAAGAATAGCGGCTTCAAAAACCTTAAACAACGATTCGTGTGGATTCGGTGGTATCCAGAATAGAAGTGCTCATTTTATATTTACTCTCCGCCTTTTATGTAAGACTCCAAATCAGAATTCATATTAAATGGAAATAATCAAAATCTACTTCCGAGATGTTGGGCTTGAACCCTAAAACACAGAAAATCAGTTTCCAAGAAATATTTACAGCTCTTGACTAGCAGTGCCATTAGTGATAAGGATAATATTAAACAATGGTTCGTTTTCAAGATACCTAGAAAAATCCAAGGCATTGGTTTGTTACACAAAAAAGTATTATTTCTGCCTATCAGTTCAGCCACCGATTTCGGCGAAATGTGGACGAATATTTAAATGTACTATGACAAATAAAATTGGGTATTCCGGCTACAGTGCTCTGATTGAAGGTAACTGCTGTTTAAAAAGTATAAGGCCAATAGTTTGGGAATTTAAGCGGGTACCAAGATAATTGAAAGTTTGTTTAAAATATTTATTTTACAACATTTATTATTTCCTTAATATAAATATTAGATGGGTTGAAGTAAAATTAAAGCATATATTTAAAGCACAAATTATTGTATTAATTTTAGAAGATTTAACACCTTATTTTTGAGCCAACAAGCCTTTAACATTTGCCCCTTAATAAAGTCGCGACAAGAGTGAAAATCCTTTCAGATTCCTTTTGTTTCCTGCGGCCACGTAGTCCTTAAACCTGAGCACACGCACTCGCAGATACTCACTCCACTGCAAAAGCAGAGACACAGATACAAATTCACATACTGCTGCTGCAGACTCTTTGGCTTCGCAGACAAAGGACACAAAACTCGTCCCTGCTGTTCAGATATTAAATACAATATTAATAATCTCACATGTGCGGTGGGTGGGTGGTGGGTTGACTTTGGGTGGATCTTTCGGGTGGGTGTGTCGACAGCAGCCGCCAAAAGCCGAAAGCCAAGAGCCATCAGTCATCCACTCAGCCACACACACTCGATTTTTACCTTACTCGGGGAATAAATACTTGTAGACTTTGAGCCGCAGACTGGCGCCAGGCCAAAACAAAGAGCCATCAACAAAAGCGAGATACATATAAAGTAGAATATCTTCCTTCCCTTCCCCCGAAATCCCACCCAGAATCCAACCAACAATCGCTAATGTAAATGTTTGTCTGCTATTTGAATTTTAATTACTTTTCGCCGCGCTGGCGAAAACTATTTGATATCCCCGCCGAGCTGAGAACCGAAAAACCGAAAACCGAACTCACCTAAACGTAAACTTTTTAATGGAATTCCTGGCCAGAAGACCAGAAAAACTTTCCACTCCCCATTTGCCGGGATTCGAAGGCCAATCGGTGGACCAGGCCCACAGGCAAAGAGCCAAAGAGCCAAGATCGTAATGCGCCTTAATTGAAATAAGTCCCCGACCAATTGTTAGACGCACAGCCACTTAAGCTCGCACAATAAAAGGTGGAACTCGCACTGAAAAAAATTAAAAATAAAAAATTATAACTAGCTCTTAGATATAATATTAAATAATTAATTTGGCTTACTAAACCTTAATGCCTCGAAAACTGCACAGAGAAAATGATCAAAAGTTTTAGGTGCAAAATAGGTAAAACGTTTTTATGTGAAAACGGCACCTAAAACGTTGTATAATTTTCTCTCTGTGTATATATTTATTTTATTTTTCTAAATTTTAAAAAGTCAATATCATTAATATTCAGGTATACCCATTCATATGAATTTAATGAAAATACATTTGGAAATGGATTGGTTTTACTTAATATTAAAGAGTAATAAAATTAAAAATAAAACGTATCTTTTATACCAAAAATAAAACAATGTGCAAAACTTAAAATAACACTTTGTTTTTATTTATTTTATAATTATTTGGTATTAAATAAAGGACATACAAAATGTATAGATCCAAAGGTAATTATATAGGCAATAAAAAACCTTAGTTTTATCTTCTTATGCATCTCTTTAATTTTGAATCATTTTATATCCTGTTATGTTCTCTATTCTCCCATTTTATTTCTCAGTGTTCTTCTTTCTACACTCCCAATTGCACAATCAAGAATCAGCCTCAGTCTCCTTTTGGGTGGCATAAATTTTGGAATTGTTAGCCGGGGCCACTTGAACGGAAACGACTAATTCCCGTTGCCCAGATTGAGATGCCCCACTCCCATACCATTTGGGCGAGATCCTTTGAGACTTTTGGACTGGTCCTGGTGTCTGGCATCTGTTCCACAGACTCACAGACACAGAATAGCAGCGTGATTCCTTGGGCGGCACAAAAATATTCGGCTGGCTCCCGTGACTTGGAAATGCTTTTTATCGGATTGAGACGTGCGGTGTTTCTTTCCACTGCGGTGGAAACTTTGCAGGAAATTCAATCAAAGGTACAAGTTAATCCCGCGTGAGTTCATAAAGTTCACAAGACAATTTATTTGCCAGGCATCCAGAAAGTTTTACCTTTAAAAAAGCCAAACAAAGGTAAGGAAAAGTTTTCAAAAATGCTTGTCAATTTAAAGATTTTATTTAGTTAGAAAATATAACTTAACTTTGTGTTTACCGTCTGTTTTTTGAGACGCACTTGACTTGATTTTAGCATATTGAACTGATTTATAGAAAAGCACGAAGAGTAGATACTTATTTTTTCTGTGATCTAACTCAAAGCGAAGCGGCATAAATCACGCGCCTTTGAGCTTTTTGAAGTCTCCGAGGAAACTGCGCGGATTTTTGGCTGCTGAAAGACAAAAGAGTTAAGGGGCAAAAAGAGGCGAAGGATTCTGGAGTGTGCTTCGATTGTGTCTTCAATTAGTGTTAAGAGCTTGTCAAACAAGCAGCCAGATTAAAGGAAAGTCGATTTCCCCCCACCACCACCCACTTCCATTTTCCTCTGCTAACATGCAACTAACCATGGCGAACACGTTTCGATTGTGGGCGTTTCAAAGGGGAAGGGAGATTCGGATTCCCAAAATAAAGGACTTCCAATCGATGGCCAATAGCCGTGAGCTCATTTCACCTCCGAAAAAGGAGGCAAAGGCAAACATCTAATTGCCTGGACAGAGCAAATAGAACAAGGCACTGGGGACTACTTAGGACTTTTCTCCTGGCGATAAAGAGGTGAAGGATTAATAGCAAATAAATTGATGCTGAAATGGCGATTACCCAAGAAGGACGAAGGATAAACATTTCATTTTGCGACTGGCCAATAAATCACGGCGAAAATTTACCTATGAAAAGGAAAATGTCAGCTGTGGAACAAAACAAAATTCCCATTTAGACATTATCATATGAATTTCTTTTCTTCAGACATAAAAAAATAAACAACAAAAGCCAAATGTTGCATAAATTCGGCTGCCACTTGATGTGTGTATTACAACAAAAGGTGAGCCAAAATGAGGGATGAGCGGCGGCCGAGGGTGGACCAACATTCTTTTGGGGGTGACCAATGCCGGACAATGCACATCTTGCATAAATTTTCATAAATTTCAGGCTTTGATTTATTTCATATATGGTTTTTTTTGGGTTGACTTCTGAGGGAGGACATGGCACATTGATCTTTGGCTGAGGTTTTTTTCCCTGAAGAACCTTTAATCAAAGTTTCCCCAAAAATCGTTTCAGTGAGAGTGAGAGGCACAGGCCAAGGCAAAAAGTAGAAATTGTTTGCATGTTCCACAGAAACAATCAAATCGCAATTTACTGGCTCATGGAAAACCGATTTATCGTTGGCGAAGTTAGTCGGTCATAAAACATCCATTAACTTCATGTCAATGTTGCATACGCACACACTCAGAAAATGAATCGCCCTGAATTTTAGAAAATCGCCTATGGATTTGCTTCACTGGCGATTTTTTTCTTTAAAATAAAAAAATTTTCTACTGGTAAAGAAAATTTTCTTCCAATTAATCAAAATTCATTAAATTCAAGAAATATTTCAGAAATATAGAAAAAAATCGCCAGTAAAGCAAATCCATAGGCGATTTTCTAAAATTTTTTTTTGAGTGCACCATATACCCAGTCCCTGCTGTATCCCCTGGATTCCGATGCCGATTCCTGCCGGACAAGCGTTCATTTGTGGTATTTTCCAAAGGGCGGGGCTTTTCACTTGGGGGCGTTGCAGGCCGCGTTGTACGGTGCAAATTACTGGGACTCGGACGAGAAATCGAAATCGGACGAAACTCAACTGTGGCCTCTGCAACATGTCAGCGTTTTATTGTGGAGAAAGCTTACAGGGTAGCAGTTGTCGTTAAATTCCAAATTCTGAAAAATCACAAAATAAATATAAATAAATAAATATCACAATATATTAAAAAACATAGTTTTACCATTTTAAATCCCTTTATTATGGGGTATTTTTAAGAGGTATCCCATATTCCTGGACCATTTTTTCCCGCTCCATCAGGTCCTTGCCAATGACACGTGATAAGAAATGTCGGGCGGTTAGATTTTCAGGGAGGTGTATGCTGTAATTGAGGGCCGAAGGGCCAGAAAAAAGCTGCTGCAAAAAACAATTGCACACGTAGGCAAAAGCAATTTGCCAATTGCCGCAAAGGAAATGTCGCCAAATGTATCTTGCACTCTTTTTTTTGGGGCATGGGAATGGAATTTCTAAGGGAAAGGCCTGGTAAAATCCGCATCCATTTCGCCCCAGAAAGAGAGTTAATTGCTGGCGTCTGAAGTGAATACTTCTCGCTGTCATTTGCCATCCATTGGGGGGCGGAAAAGCTGGAAAACTGGCTGGGGGGAGTGGCAGTGTGGGCAATGTGGGCCGCCTTGGCGGAAACTTTTGAATTACCTCAGTTACCCAGGAGTTTTCGAAATGGTTTTGCAAA